CACCCTTGTTTGACAGGTTTGCCTTCTTTGCATTCCAAGGAGTTGAAAAAAGCAAGCTGGTGCCCATCTGACTCAGTGCCGACCCTTCCACCTCCCTTTGCAGACCCTCACCCACCTTCCCCTTTTTTCCCTTGGTAGAAACACCCCTGCCCTCTGCCCAAGCGCAGGACGGTGGTCTTTCAGACATGAGTCTGCTGCCCTCCTCATTTCTCCACGAATTCAACCACTTTCCTTTTACTCAAATTCTGTTTCCTTCTATTGGCTGAGGGAAACTGAGCCCGGTGTGCACTCACAATTGGGAGAGCAAGAGGCAGGAGCTGGATGCCACTTGGGCTCTGCCAGCCCCAACTCTGACTTCCCAGGGATGGAGCAGTAGCCCTTGGCGGAGTAGGGAGCGCCCTCTCTCCAGGGGGAGGGAGAGTCCCAACAGCTGTGGGAGTTTTTCCTCCAGGGAACTCCCAAGGTCTCCGAGGGAGGGAGAGGCACAGCCCTTCTCTGCCCCAGGATTCACCTTGGAGGAGATGGAACCCTGATGGAACCCCTGGCATTTGGTGTCAGCTCCCAGGGGTGCACACCTGCCATGCCCCTCGCCTGTACACATTTGGGAGGAATCGGAGTCCCCCTCAGGGAGGCAGTCCAGTTCCCGAGTTTGGGAGGGAGTCTGTTAAGTCTCCCTCAATTGCGGTACCTTTTGTGTGTCAGGCCTGGATGAGTGGGAATTGGGAAACATTTGCTATTTTCCTTGGGTGTCTGGTATTTGGAGTTTCCCCTTTTTTTCCTGGAAGCCGGGGATGTGGTGAAAATGGTGAGAGGTGCCGTATTTGTTTCATCTGAAAGCCCCTTGGGTGTTAACTGAAGTGGGGACCTGTAGCTGCCAACCCCTGTCTAGGAAGCAGCTCCTGCCACTGTTTCCCTGCAGGAGCCCAGGAGCAGCTGACAGTGGGGCACAGACTGATGCTTCCCTAACCCTAAAGCCAGGCAGGCAGCTCCCCTTTCCCGCACTGGCTGGCTCAGGCAGGCGTTCCCTGTGACGATCCTCTTCTATGGTCTCCCCCTGACATCCAGGGTCCGTGCAGGCACGTTGGCTCTAGGCAACCTAGGACAACCCTGACTCGGTGGATGCTGGCAGGTGGCCGGGAGGGCTGGGTTGTCCCCATGAGAGCAGTGGGCCTGGACCGGGGGCATCTCCTTCCCTTCCTTGGTCCTCACCGTGTGCAAAGAGCTCTGTGAATCTGAACGTTGTGCCTGTGTGAGGAATGCAAGCAAGGATCTGCAGTCGGGTCTTGGGTATTTAAAAATTGGGTATTTTTCTTATTCTGACGTGTTTAGTCAGACAGCTGATTCAGTGTCTCCCAGTCACTGTGACGACGGGGTGTCCAGTCAGCTGAAGAGAGTGCTCTCCACTTGAAGGAGGCCTTGTCTTCCTCTGAGCTGGCTGGCCTCTGCGGATCACACTCGGGACTTCTGGGATCAGGCTCAGTTGGTTTTGTCAAAATGACTTTGGACTTTCTAGTCAGCTGTAAATGAAGCTTGCCAATTGGTTGGAAAATGTCTAAACGTCTTTTTTTTTTTTTAAAGATTTATTTATTTATTTGTTTGTTTGTTTATTTATTTATACAAGCGCTGGGTACAGTCAGAAGCTTGGGAGGGAGAGAATATTCACCAGAGCGGGGAGCAGAACAGGCAGACTGACAAAATACACTGCTGACAGGAGCAGTGGGCGCAGCAGGGGAGGTCTGTCGCGCCATGTGGGACCCTCCCCAGCGCTGCAGAGGCTGCGGGCAGCTTCGCAACCCAGCACTCAACTGCTGCGCCACCAGGGGAGGCCCAATGTCTAAACTTCTTATTGGCCATTAAAAGTGACAGGTTTCTTTAAAAATCTAAGTTTCTTATTTAAAATAATCAATTTAGTAATCAAAATAATATTCCTTGTCAAATTTCTTTTTTTTAAGATTTATTTATGCATACAAGAACTAGGAGATAGGCCAGAGGTGGGGGGAGGTGAGAGGATTCACCAGAGACAGAGTGGGGAACAGAATAGGCAGACTAACTGGTCTACACTGCCAAGGGGAGCAGCGGGCTAGTCAGTAGCAGTCCAGTGCACCATGTGGGTAGCTCCCTGGCTGGCTGGGGATCGAACTCGTGCTGCAGAGACTGCGGATAGCTTCATAGGGAGGCCCAATCTATCTCTACTCCTGTCCTTCTCATGGTCCAGGTAGAAGGTATCTTTTATCTTTCCTAGGACCAGGCCTCATCTGTGAGGTCAAACAGAAACCAGGACTTTATATTGAATTTTCAATGCTTTTCTTTAAAATGGTTCCAATTGTGGGCTCTTGAGGTATTAAAATGATTAAAATGGGATACTCAGAACATGTAAGGACTTTAGTTTCCATCTCAAATTAGAAACCTTCTTGATTGCAAAAAGAAAAAACAACAACCCACAAAAAACCCACCAAACTTAAATGGCTATATCGACTTAACTTGAAAAACTTAAGTTGTTTTAGGAATTAGTCTAGCTTTGTCTTGAAAAGGTACATAGTTTTGGTGAAACTGTCCACCCATCCAAAATCTCTTCTAGGAATTTAAGGAAAAATGTGGCCTGAAAAAAACTCATAGGGAATATTCTGCCCCACTTTCTTTAGAACCTAAGGGCATTCTTACAAATAAAACTTGAGAAATGTTTTCTTATATGAAGGAGCTAGTTAAAAATTATTATTTAATAGTAAATTAATAATTGTAGTCAGTGTTGTCACAAATATCGGTAAAATAACTATCTCTAAAAATTATCTCTAAAAATTAGTGCAAATGGCCAAATTCTAAACGAGAGATCTCTGTGTCTGTGCCTTTGTGACTTCTGTCTCCAGAGGGTTGCCATGTTAAAATGCTGCCATTATACATTCTAATGGAAAAACAAACAAACAAAATTTTGAGATTGTGATCTAAAATTTCTGGTAAACAAAAACGAGTTCAAAATGCAATGGTTTAATTAAAGCATAAATGTCTTAAATTTATAATGTTGGGAGTTAATTGTTTTATTGTATGTTTAAATGTGTTTAATTAGGGAAAAAAAAAAGCTTGGAGTAGTCAAAAAGAGTTACTGACCAGGTCTATGTTAACAGGGATAAATGTGGTTTTTTTTTTTTTTTTTTTTTTTTTTTTTTTTAGAGGCATGCTTTATTTATTTGTTTGCTGGTTTGTTTGTTTTTGTTTATACATGCACTGGGTACAGTCAGAAGTGCGGGAGGGTGAGAGAATTCACCAGAGCCAGAGCGGGTAGCAGAGCAGGCAGAAGGACCGAAGTACACTGCTGAGGGGAGCAGCGGGCGGCAGGAGAGGTCTGCGCGCCATGTGGGACCCTCCTCCGGTGGCCGGGGAGCAGCCGGGGATCGAACCGGCGCCGCAGAGGCTGCGCGCAGTTTCGCAACCCAGCGCTCAACCGCTGCGCCACCGGGGAGGCCCAATGTGGTTTTGTTTATACCCAGACTCCTTTTCTTCTTTTGGTAAAATTCTTTTCTAAAAAAATAACCCTGGGCCTCCCTGGTGGCGCAGCGGATGAGCGCTGGGTTGCAAAGCTGCCCGCAGCCTCTGCAGCGCCAGTTCGATCCCTGGCTGCTCCCCGGCCACCGGAGGAGGGTCCCACATGGCGCGCAGACCTCTCCTGCCATGCCTGCTGCTCCCCTCAGCAGTGTACTTCGGTCCTTCTGCCTGCTCTGCTCCCCGCTCTGGCTCTGGTGAATTCTCTCACCCTCCCGTGCTTCTGACTGTACCCAGTGCTTATATAAATAAATAAATAAATCTTAAAAAAAATACAACATGTGTTTAGGTATGAGTTATCCAGCTCTTACAATGTCTTGAAGTGAAAAATGTGAGGCTGAGTTGTTCATTAGCTAAAGTTATGAGTCTGAGAGCAGCAAATTCAGGCTCTCAATTTAGCTGTGCAGAGTATGAGGGAGGAAAATCGAGCAGTTCTTAAAAGTGTGCAGGACCAGCTACAGGCTGCCCTCCAAAAATTGGATGTGGGGGAGCAATGTTCCCCCTGTGCAGACTCCTGAGACTTCACAGCCTCCACTGCCCTCTGGGGAGGAAACTAAATGGCGTCGCCTCCCCACACTAGACGGGGCACCCACTTTGGCAGGAAGGGTCACCCTGAGGCAGGACAGTTTCCTCTCCCACAGATGCTGATGGGTGGCTTAAATGAACATGGGCAACCTGCTGGCTACTTTCAGTCACACCATCCCTTTAGCACCGCGGACCCCCTAAATTGGAGGAGCTCTGTGCCCTCACGCCGGCAGGCTCCTAAGAGGATGATGAACTTGTTTGCCTCTATCTTCCTCTCCCACTGCCCTAACTGGGCAGACATACAGTCCATGCTACAAACTTTGCTGACTCTGGACGAGCAGAGAATGGTACTCAGGAGAGCCAGGGAGGAGGCTGACCGTCTCCACCAACAGGACGGAGAATCCGCAGAGCCAGAGATGGTTGTCCCAGGGGTAGATCCCGAGTGGGACCCCAACAATGGGGGAATGGTGATGTTAGAACTGTATAAAAAATGTTTACTGGTAGAATTGCAGCACGGAATCCCCAAACAAAAAAATTTTAACAAAATATTACAACTTGAACAGGTAGCTAACAAGGATCCATCACAGTTCCTTGAAAGAGTTATTCAGACGTATACCAACCACACAGACATAAACCCAGATGCCCCGGAAAATACTCATGTGATCACTATGGCGTTCATTACGCATAGTGCCCCGGACTGAAAGGATTGGCGCGGTAAAGAAAAAGCAAGCCAGGGTCTCCCAGGTGGCGCAGGGGGTTAAGCACTGCACTATGGGACAACCCGCAGCCTCTGCAGTATGAGTTGGATACCCAGCTGGCCAGGGAGCTACCCACATGACCAGCAGACCTCTCCTGTCTCGCCTGCTGCTCCCCTCAGCAGTGTATTTCAGTCAGTCTGCCTGTTCTGTTCCCCACTCTGTCTCTGGTGAATCCTCTCACCCCCGCATCTCTGGCCTGTACCCTGGCTCTGGTATGCATAAATAAATCAATCTTTTAAAATAAAGAAAAAGAAAAAGAAAAGGAAAGCCAGGCTAAGTTTCTCACAGGCAAGAAATTTATTGTGTTCACAGGCAGGCAAGGTTTGCCTACCCCCTGGGGTGTCGGAGAAGTCGCACCCATTGGGGGATAAGGGCAAGCTTTTATAGGGCAGGGTCTGGCCTTGGAGGGAGGTGGAGAATGAGGAGTTGAAGTTGCTTTTCAAAGAAGTTTTTTCTCTCAGAACTGGTTGTTCTTTCAACTCTGCTTATCAGGGCCCGTGCAAACCGGGCAGAGCTGGCTCCTAGGATACAGGTGGCAGCAGTTTCAAGTACTCCCCTCTGAAGCCCATCTCTGCCCTGGCCTCGACCTTACACAGACATATGGAAAAAGTTAGCAAAGGTGGACGGCATCGCAGAGATGAGTCCATCCCAGGTAGTGGACTTGGCATTCCAGGTTTATAATAATAGAGGATAGGAGACCAAGACCTGCGACAGTTTTCATACAAAGAGAGCACAGGACAGGGCTTCAGGAAAACAGTAACAGACTGAGGCGTGACCCCAGGAGATGGGAACCCCTAGGGAGGAGTCAGTGTGCTCCCTGCAGGGAAGAGGGACATTGGGAGTACAGCTGTCCCAGACTACAGGGGCGCAGCAGATGACATAATGACAGACGGCAGGACAGAAGACTGAGGACACCAGGACATGACGATTCCCACAGGGGTCACTGGACGGAAGACAGACGGAGCACACGGAACCTGAGACCAAGGAGAGAGGACAGGAGACACATGGTAGCCCAGCGTCGAGGCTCAGATGAGGACAGGAGGGAAGACGGACCAAATACAAGGAACCAAGATCCCAGTACAGAGGAAGGGAGACAAATGATAGTGCATGGAGAAGGTTCAGATGAACAATAGGGAGCCCAAGGGCTCCACTAGATCTAAAAAACCCCAGAAGGAACTGACCCAGAGACAAAGTCCCATTGGTCTTGTGAACCCATCGAGGGCTTGAGATACTTATATAAGAAAAAGACCGAAACTTGAATATTACTGACTTCCAGTTACTGTTGCAGGGATACCCCAGGATTCACTTTTCTGAAGAAACCCTGAGGTGACTGACATGCTCTGACCAATCTTTCCTCTCAAAGTTCAGGAGACGTGACATAAGATCCAGAGTCACGCATGTGCTGGCAGTATTGTTTTACACAGAAAGGCTTTCGATCTTGATTTTGGTATTTTCCTTTTAACTTCATTTTGGCCTATGAGTGAAATTGCAGCTGTATAAGATCCCACACGTGATACATGGTAACTAAAGAGCTTTGTGTCTAGATGTTGAATGTCTGTATGTCCTTTCCTTGTGTCCTTGTCTTGGCCTCTAGTGGTTGACAAATTGGCATACATGGTGCCTACAGACATTGAAAAAAAATTAAAGGTTATGATTTGTCAACATTCTAATACTGAACTAAGCCGGTGCCTTCATAGAGATCGAATATTGTAGCTGCTGCTGTTCTTCTGATGTTTATGGCAAAGCTTCCCAGAAATCTAAATTCAAATAAAAAAATTTGGTAGTCTATCATTTGGTTGATAGAAGGAAATTTTGTTGATAGAAGGAACCTCAGTAGAGCTCCTGAGACACTCCACAAAGTTTCTCCCTTTCCTCCTGGGAAAGGCACCAGATGAGTTTGTCCTATTTGGCTTACCCAGGAGAGTAAAACTAGAAGGGAAGCCTTGTCACTTGGGAAAAAGGGTAACACTTTGACATGTACAGAAATGTTCACATTGATTTTCTAGAACGTGTATACAACCTCTCAATACCTGATATGTAAATTGTCAATGGTGATTGTCGCCTTGTCATATTGTATACTTGAATGGTTTGATACCTATAGAAATTATTTCTGGAGAAAACAGGGCAAAGAGGCCTCAACAGATTCCTATTGGTGGAACTGTTAAGAGTAAAAATTTCCTACAAAGGACTGAATAGACCTGGAAATATACCTGATTTTTACTAACTTTTCTTTGACATAATCCTGGTAATTTTTTTTTTAATTTTGTTCTGAATCAACAACATGTTCTTGTTTTGAGTGACCAGGATCTGCCGTGGTGCTGCATTTTTTTTTCCAGCAAAGCTAACTTAACTTGTGTTTGCATTTTCTCTCCCCTTGATACCAACACAGCATAAAAATAGTGGTAGTAATTTTTACTACCTATCTCAGCATCTATTTTTGCATAACTTCCATAGGGATTTTGTCTGCTTAAAACAAAACCAAATGGACATAAGTTTTATTGTGTGGTTTTGAGTGGTGTTCTTCCAGGAAGTTGAAACAGAGCTGAACCAAGAAGAGAACTTTCTACTTTGTTTGTAGAGTTCCAGAGACCTCCAGGAAGGTGAGGAAGCTCACCTCCATTGGCAGGACTGGACAACCCGGCAAACAAAAAAGCCCTGGTACCCTTGAGAAGAGAAAAGCCCAGGTGGAGTCTGATGAGACCAACTTTGATCTTGAAGCCTACATGGACTGGATGTCAAGAGTTCGCTCTGATCCTATATGGAGTATTCCAACAAAGCCAGCTAAAATTGCTGTTTAGTTATTCTGCCCTGTGATTTTATGATAAAATAGGTAATATGGTTTAAAAGTAGATTTAGTTTGCAAACTTTTGCTATGCTATTGAAATGATTTGGGATCAAGGTTCAGAGAACTTGTTTTCACATACATTGAACCAATTTTAAGATTTTTTTCCCCTATGATTTGATATCTTTGCTGTTTTGTTTTAGCTAATGCCTACAGATTTATTTTTTTTGTCTTGGACTGATAAATTATTTTCCAGGAATGGAGGACTTTTGCTTCCCACAATGGACAATACCTGGAGAGACTGGTTTGCTTTCCAACGGGAACCCTGAGAAAAATATTCATCTAAGACTGTACCCCAGCATCCATACATTTGATCTTCATCACCATGTAAATGGTGGCAAAAAGTGAAAGGGGGGAATTATTAGGGGGAAAGGATGTCCTGAGCAAATTCCATACAGGCTTTGTGGATGCTACCCCCACTCCATCAAGACACTGGGAACTACAAATCCCATGATCCCCAAAGGGAAGTTGCAAGGACCTAAGGGCACAGTTAAGCAGCCATTTCTCTGTTTGTAAATAAAACCAGCCATGTTAGTGGGGTCGGGGCTCACTTGGCTCGTGCTCTTGGCCAGGCAAGTTTGGTCTCAGCAAGTCACTTGGGATTCCAGGTCCGCGGAATGGGTAGGACGCATTTAAGAATTTATCTCCCTCTTTATTCCCTGAGTTGTACATTTCCTCATTTCCCTTCCCCTTGTAAATAAACCTTTGTTAACCTTTTGTGTGTGACTGCAGTTTAAGTCCTCTTTAAGCATGCAGGTGAAGACCCACAATCAGGCAACCTGTTTTAGAGCGTGGTTTGCCCTGTAATATTATGATTTCTTTTTCCACCATGTAGAAATGTAAATGACCATCTGTACACAAATAGGCAGCAGGTGAGATCTGGAGGACAAGCTCATTTCCTGACTTCTGCTATAGGATATAAACTTCAAAATATATTTCAGAAAATATTCATCATCTAGTGTTCAAACTCTCTCCTCACCTCTGTCCATAAACACAGAAACACTGATGGAAATAAGTGGGAACCAACCACTCTGATCTCTCAACCTCAGGCTGAAAATCCACAGAATTCCTTGGCTCATATTTAAAAAGCTGTTCCAGTTCTCACTCAGGTCCCTGGCAACTTGGAAGGGATTTGCCTCCATTCTTTATCGTCCTGTCAAGGCAATGGCTCCCTGCATGGTTCTTAGCCACGTTTGGAGAATCTGCTGGTGCTCACTTATTCCATATCCCACAGAGGAGATCAGTAACTAAGACCTGGAGTAGGAAGCAAGTTTGACAATCCCCTGCTCAGACCACTGAGAAATGGGAGGTCTGCTTTTATTTAAATCAGTTAAGAAGGAGAAAGTAAAATTTTTTTTTTACTTTTTTTAAACTAAAACTAGCACCAAGTTCTAAAAGTAAAAAATCCCAATGAGTTATGACTGAAATATCCTTCTCTACTCAAATCCTGATGATTATATTATTTTCCCTGTATATTATGCTATCTTGTCATCTTGCATAACTCTACTTTTTAGTGTAGTGCTTCTCTTGCTCTTTTATTTAACAATGCTCAGCATAATCTCTTTATTATTATTTTTTTATTTAAAAAAATTTTTACATCATTGTTCATCACTGTTCACAGCTGAAGGCACAGCATCAGGTGAACACAGGGCAGACACAGCACCCAGTGTGAGCAATAGTCCCTGTGTTGAGGTGCTCCCCTCCCCTGCTCTGTTTCTCAGAGAACTACAGTGGGAAAAGCACAGGTCAGCAAGTACAAGTCTCTGGTGCCACCTAGTGACCAGAGCAAAATCACCAACCAGCTGATTCCTTGCTGGAACTGAGTAAATATGGAGGGAGTGAACTCTCAGGGGCAGCGCCCAGCATCACAGCCACAGCATCAACATCCTGGTGGAGTTTTGGCCTAACAGTGCTGGTCTTGGTCTGATAAATAATTTCCAATGCCCCTGAAGGAGCACCCCAAATAGATGCCCACCAGCACCAGTGGCACAACATCCCAATGCATAGAACTAATCAGAAATCAAAGGCAGGGAGAAGGAAAAATACAAATGACCAAGCAAGCCTGCAGGGGAAGGACACACCACAAAAAGAAAATCAGTCACCAGAGCTCAACAATGACATGGAAGAACTTCTCTGCCTGTCAGATAGAGAATTTAGAATCATCATGATTAAAAAGTGTAAGAGGGCCTCCCTGGTGGCGCAAGGGGTTAAGATGCAACCTATGAAGCTCTCCGTAACCACTGCAGCATGAGTTTGATCCCCAACCGGCCAGGTAGCAACCCACATGGCGCAGCAGACCTCTCCTGACTCACCTGCTGCTCCCCTCAGCAGTGTACTTTGGTCAACCTGCCTGTTCTGTTCCCCACTCAGTCTCTGGGGAATCCACTCACCCTCCACACATCCAGCCTATACCCCAGCTCTTGTATGCATAAATATAAATAAATCTTTTAAAAAAAGTGTAATGATGAGAAAATAATCAGTGAAAATGAGACCTTAAGAAAGGAAATAAAAAGAAGAGGAGACTAAAAGATTACTGAGGAGACAGAGCGCTCTGTGAAAAGCACTGAAAACAGTATCAAGGAAATGGAAGAATGGATCAGTACTCTCGAAGATGCAGAAATAAAAAGAACCAAAAGAGAAAAGGAGAGAGTGCAAAGGAAGAAGAATGAGGACACCCTTAGACAATTATCAGACTCCATGAAGAGAGGAAATGTAAGAGTTATAGGCATTCCAGAAGGCAAGGAGAGAGACAAAGGATCTGAGAAATTATTCAAGGAGATAATTGAAGAAAACTTCCCAAGCATGAAAAAGGAGATGAATATAAACATATAAGAAGTGAGAAGAGGGCCTCCCCAGTGGTGCAGTGGTTGAGTGCTGGGCTGCAAAGCTGCCTGCAGCCTCTGCAGCGCCCGTTTGATCCCTGGCTTTGGGGCGAGGGTCCCACTTGGCACGCAGTCCTTTCCTGCCGCCCGCTGCTCCCCTTAGCAGTGTATTTTGTCGGTCTGCCTACTCTGTTCCCCGCTCTGGCTCTGGTGAATCCTCTCACCCTCCCATGCTTCTGACTACCCAGTGCTTGTATAAATAAATAATCTTTAAAACAAACAAACAAACAAAAACAACGAAGAGGGGAGGCAACTTTAAAAAAAAAAAAAGAAGTGAGAAGAACTCCTGATTACCACAAGCTTCAGATATGGTGGTGGTAAGAGACATGTCAAGCTGGAGGAGTCTTGTGTGAAAAAAGCCCACCTCTTGAGAAAAAACTTGGTTTCCACTAGAGGAAATGGTCTTTCCATAATCACGTGGAACAATGTTTTATGATGACAGGTTCTAGCAGCCCACTTTTCAGACAAAAATAGTAAGGGGTGTAGAAGCCATGTGGGATGCCAAAGAAGAGATCATAAAGAACTTGGCTGAACTTTTCTTCAAATGATTGAAAGGCTGTGGTAGGAGGGATTAGAACAGAACTAAAGCTTCTGAGAAGACAGGTACATTTCAGCTCAAATAAGGAGGGATTTTTTTGCTACCAGTGCAGTGAGCTGTCTGAAAACATGCCTAAAGAGAAGCTGAATGATAGCAGAAATGTTAAGGGAATTATGCAGCGGATAGAAGACTGGGTTATATCTTTGAGCCATTTCCAACTCTAAAGATTTCTATTTCATTAGTACTAGCATTTACTGAGGAAGACTACAGGTTTAAAGGCAACCTAACTATAAAAAAGGATGAAAGTCTTGAATTCCACATTGAATTTAAGAAGACAACTAAAATTTGGGGAATGAGGACAGAAATTTGCCTTACTGCACATATCAGATGTTAAGTATTTATTGACTCAATGGCAGTAACTAAAATATAAGGTTCCCCAGGAATGGGTGTGAGGGCCAAATATATTTAATTTTCTGTGTGAGCTGAAAGTCTATAGAGAAAAGTTTCCTGGAAAGAAGCTAGAGGTACAGAGCCAATGCAAAGGAGCCAGACCACAGGAAGGTCTTTCAGGTCCAAGAGCACTCAGGTGGGTAGAGGAGAGGCAGATGAGGATCATGTGGGACAGTACAAGATAATGAAATTTAGGGAAAATAATTCACAAAATCAAGAGCTCAAAAAAGAAAATCCACTCTAATGATGTGGGCCAAAATGGCCAACCCAATCAATTGTTAGGTAGCATAGAAAGGCTGTTGGAAACATTGGAACAAAACAGAGAGAGGATATTATTTAAAATAAGCAGGGGCTGGGGCAGGAAGAAATACTGCTACAAACAGAATAAAGGGGCAAACTGACAGGGACAGTGACCAAAGTCCAGATCAGAAATACAAAGTCCAGATTATAAATACAAAGAAAACAAGTTTAGGATGACATAGTTACTAAAAACACACTAGCCAAGAGAAGGTACTGGCACTGAAGACATTCCTGTAAGGCTGGATGTGTTGGTTAATCCCGGGGTTGACTGACAAAAAGTTGATTAAAAGGTGCTTTGTATGAGGAAGCCACACCTTCCCAAATGTCCCTCCAGACTAGATGGCTGGGATCTGGGAAGTCAGAAGATGTTCTCTATCCTGCTAAAATTTAGGATTACTTGCTGGCTACAGCAAGCACAAAGCAGGATCACACAATTTTCAGATAATGGTATCTTTTGCTCCCCTTGAATTAGACATGAAAGGAAAAAAACAGATGTTTGGGTTTTTTCTTTCAGTAGAGGTGGGTAGAGATAAGGATGGAACACGGTAGTGTGTAGGGAGGGGAAAATACTAGTACTGATAGGTCATGGGATTACAATCAGCTCATTTTAGCATGTAAGAGGAAAATTAAAAATGTTCAAATGAGGCACTCAAAGGGTTGAAAAGATATTTTCTTTGGTTCCCAGGGATCCACCCTGGGCTCTCCAGAGTTAAGTTCCAAAGCTATTCCTTCCAGCTCTGACACACAGGAATCTCAAAGATTTAGACTCTGGTACAAGCTGTGCACACAGAGTTACTAGGTAACATTCACATTAGATGTGTAAAATTAATTAAACCTGGATCTCTAGATTTGAGGGCAAAGCCAAAGCTCCTTCCTCCTGATGAAGACAGCTGCTGGGCTTCAGTCTGGGTTGTCCCCAAACCAGCTCAGAATATGACTGAGTCCTCTCTCCTTAAAAAGGTTGTTGGCAAATATAGTCCTCAGAGGGAGATGCCCAGAGACTGCAGCAGGTGGAAGGTGGCCCCCAAGGCCCAACCTGTCTCTATGTTGTTCACTTTCTTTGTAAGCTGTTGGGGAGAAGGAAAAAAAAAAGTCTTCACATTTTTGTTCAGTTGTCAACTCCAGCAAGCATGACACAGACGGAGAATATCAGCAAAAATCATCCCAATGGCTAAACCAAAGCAGAACTGAGAAGCCAGACTTGGGGTACATCCCTTACTTCTCTCTTTAACAGGTTCCCTCCTTCCATGGCCAGTTGCTCCTGGACCTACCATTTTGATCCTGAATTTTCTGGGCCAGGAAGTGGTTCCATATAGGCCTTCTAGCAAGGATTTTCTAGAGAGACAGTCTTCTTTCCCTAATCCTGAACTTTATGTAAGATCCTTGTTTTCTGAATCACCAAGTTCTGATAAGGCAACTTACACCAAGGTGTTACTAGATGGAGTAGCAAGGGCATGATCAGGAGTTGGGACTAGATTTAGGGGTAGGAAAGAATACATTAAACTTCTCAGCTCATACTCTGCATCCTCTTAAATGCTAATATCTAATAACCAACCAATGCACTTAAGGCCAGGTTATGCCTCTATTAGTTCATGATCTTGAATAAAAGTTTAGACCCATTTCCTCACCTATAACAAGAGAATTAGTGTTTATCAAATTATTTTCTTTAGAATTGTACAGGTTCTAAGAGTGTTTTAAAGGAGAAAAGGAAGCCACATAGCTAAGGAGTTCAGGCTTCCAATCTCTACTTCAACCAGGTACCTCCATTTTTATCAGTTTTACTGGCATTCAGCATAAGTTTTTGTTGGATAAAAATGCCATCATCACCACCACACACAAAAGTTTGAAAACAAATGTACTGGTTTGTCTTCTTCCAGTAGAAAGTTCTTAGGACGCACTAATTCTTTGTTCACCTGATGAAATCTAGTCTAGTCACTGTGACAAATACTGGGAAGAACAGCATGTAAATCATTATCTTAAGGTTTAGTCCAAAACACCTAAGTCAAATTGGTGTCTCCCCCATCCCATGAAATGCTATTCCTCTGTCCTCAGGAGTAGGGATATAAGGACCAAAATGAAGTGATCTCTAGGACAGGAGACTATCTACCCCTGATTTAAATTTTGTTGCCAATGAAATCATAAAGACTAAGAGATGGCAGCACAGGAAATGGCAGAATATAGTCCTTTAATGCCTTGGCTATTGTTTATGCTTAGGTAAAGGAAACAGGCAACTGAATGTATATTGCGGGCTTAGGATGACCTTTTTTATCCACAAATCTATCCCCAACCAGTATGAAATGCCTATGCTAATAATAAAACCAATATTAATTAATAAATTACTATGTGCCAGTTGTGGTGCTTTACATGTAATATCTTAGTTTTCATAACAATTCTATGAAATAGATACTGTAAAGATCTCTGGGGTCTGGATGAGGAGCCTAAAAGTTAGTAAATCTCTAAGGACACATAGCTAGTAAGCTTACAGGGTCAGAACCTGAACCCAGATCTGATGAACAACGGAGCCATGGTGTAAACACTATGCTAGTCTGACTCTACTGGCCAGTGACTCTTATATGTTAAGCACTTTAAATGCCAATATTGACAGATAAAATATTTTAAATTGAAATATCTTAGTACATAAAGTTTATGAAATCTGTATGACATAAGAAACAAAGCAATACCAATGCATTTGTAACTGAGGAAACAAGAAGGAGAAGTGGCACAAGGAAGGTGGGGGTGGCAGCTTCAGAGACAAAATAGTTACTTGACCATATAATTCAAAGTCACCTTGTGCCATAGCTATAATTTTGTCACAACTCTTCTAATAGACAGGATGCTATTTGAAAGCAAAATTACAACTTAATCACCACCGTAACTATAATGTACAATTGCACAATTATGGTAGAGAAGACAAGAAAATAAATGGGTTGGATGAAACTTGTACAATATGCTTAGAATAGGTAAGTTACTACAGATCAAGTTGAGCTCACAATTCACCCAAACAAATGAAGATAGGAAGACAAAAGGCAACCCAAGATTCAAAAGGCATTAACTATATGAGGCACACATAAAATACATATACCATACCACACACTGCCTCATCCAAAGCCCAAGTGAAAATACCTCCTAATTCTACCTTTTGCAACTCTGATTTAACAAATTCTTAACCTTCTTCCCACCTCCATATAAGAAGACTGTTATGTAGCTCTGGTGCCTGCTCGCTTACCTGTAAAACAGTGCTGTCTGCAAAGCCAAAGCCATCCTTCAGTAAGGCTGTGATGTAACTGAGGTCCATGCACAGGAAAGGACTGCCCGAGGTGAAGTTCTCCAAGTTATCACATACTGAAGGTGACAGAGAGTGAAGCTGGAATTCAAGTTTGCAGCCAACTGAGAGGTATATGATTTTCTCTAAATTTAGAAAAAGCATAGAATTCTCCACTTCTCAGATGCCTGAGAGTCTTGAGGCTATACCTGTACACAGATAGCTTCTCTATAAGATTAAGAACTTGCACATTTCTTATGTTACAGCTTATCTACTCAAACGTACCTGGGTCCCAGTTTGCTAAATTTCTATGACTATTGTGAGGCTTAATTCTAAATATTTTATATACTATTAATACTAACAAAGAAATACCAGTTAACCGTATTTTGGGATCACTGAAGCTTCAGTGGCTATTTCCCATATATTTTGGTGTCCAGTGTTTCATTAACATGAATGATACTATTTCAATTTTTTTAAAAAACGAAGAAATGTAGAAACAAGAAAAGGTTTTCACCATTTCCCCAAAGTCTCTTGTATCCCCATGTTTTTCCATACGACTTAGTGCTTTAACTTCCTGGCCAAGACAGGAAGCCAGCCTTCTGAGAGGCTTTCAGTTGACTGAAGCACTGGAGGTGGGGCACACTCACCTTCAGGGGCCGCTACTGATACTTACCTTCCCTTGCTTTTCTTTCAAAATCTTCAACTTTTAAAACACCCCCCTTTTCATAATCTGGAATGAAAGAAAATAGTCAAAGTATTTATGAAAATGAACCTGTCCTGATAATTATAATAATGAAAAATTTGAAATAAAATTTCCAATATTAGAGAATATGTTAAGACATTTCCATATAAAATAATTTTTGCAATCTATTTTCTTTACTTATAGTCTATTTTATGTTATGTATATTTAACCACAATAAAAAAATTTTCCTGCATGAAAACACATTAGGAACAAGGGAATTAGTTTATATCTCAGGCTATGAGATCATGTATATTCATACTTACAGGTAAACAAAAACATTACTATTGTGATAAGAAAAGTTTTAAAAGGGGAGAAGGACACCTTTTGGAGTGATATGTTCATTATCTTGATTTTGGTGATAGTTTCATGGGTATATACATATTTTAAATCTTAGCAAATTACACACTTTACATATGTGCATTTTATGTGTTATACCGCAATAAAATTTTTTTAAGAGTTCATGTATATGTGTTTTTTTCCTTTTTTAATTTTTTGCTTTGTTTTGTTTTTCACATGTATTTGTTTACGCCATCTTCCAACTCCATAAAACTATGAGTTATACTGATGCTTCCATCTGAGTGACTACCATCACTCGACCATCAGCCCGGAGAAGAGTAAGGTGATCACCTCCTTAAGCATTTCAAACACCCCGTCTCCCAACACAGCCTTGCCCAGTTTTTTTCCTGGGCTGACACCTGGAGTGAACTTACCAATCAAGTCTGTGTCAGCAGCTCGATCATAATAGTAAGAGAAAGCATAAAAGGAGCTCCTCCTGATCTCCTCTGGCTGGTGTAGTTTGCCTTGGACCACCCTCAGCACTTCAGCATAGCAAGGCTCAAAGCCCACCTCCCCTGCCAGGAGACAACGATACATAGGGGCAAGGTGAGAAAAACAACAGGGGAAGCAACCACTCTCTGAGAAAATTGCTGGAGTTGAAGGGAAAAAGCAAGAGGATCAAGGAAATCAGAAGGCTGAGGCTTAGGACAAAGGGCTTATAAAGATGAGCAAAATTCTGTAGTCTCATGGTTCTGGAGCAAAGGTATCTACTTCTCCAAGGCACCCCACCCTTCCCTAATCTGTGCTCATCAAAACAGTGACAGCTGGGCCTCCCTGGTGGCCTAGTGTTTAAGCCTCAGTGCTATCACCACTACCACTGCTAAGGCCTGATCCCTGGCCAGGGAGCTAACCCACACATGGTGTAGCAGACCTGTCCTGTCTCACCCACTGCTCCCCTTAGCAGTGTATTTTAATAAATTCAGCTGTTCTGCTCCCCGCTCCGTCTCTGGTGAATCCTCTCACCCCTTCCTCCCACACCTCTGGCCTATACCCCAGTTCTTCTACGCAAAAAATTAAAAAAAAAAAAAGTCACAGCTGACCTTGAGCTGCTGCCTAGCATTATGTTTCATGGTATTTATAAGAAGTATCCAGAAAAGTCAATTGCTTCCTTCCTTCACTGGAGAAAATAAAGCTTTTTCTTTGCTTTTAAGGTCTAAACCTTTTATAATACCTAAGATGAATTATGCTTCCTACTGTCTTAACTTTAAGTATTACTACAATTTAAGTAGCCAAATATTAACTGAAGCTGAAGCAGTTTCACCCTGCTGCGTGCAGAGACCATTAGTGCACTAGAACCAGAGTAAGAATAGGTTTCTAATGGATCTACAACACTTGTTTGAGAAAGAGCAGGATAGAGTGACCTCTGTCTTGTTTACTGTCCTTCATTCCCTGGAAGTATACCAAGAAATATTTGGAATGAGTTTCTGCAGCATGACAAGAGAACATGACAAGCTACTCTTAGCTCTGAGACTTGAGACTTCTACTGTAAAGATAATCTCAACCAGTGGGAAAAAAAAATCACTTGCCTTCTTGGTTGCCACCATACTGGTATTTCACACCCCCAAAGATCCACTCTGCTTCCAACCATCTTGGCAGGCAGGCACTTCGGAAAGTGAGTCCATCAATCCCTGAAAGAAACCAAGTAAGAGGGAAAGAATGTGAGAGAGAAGGTGGAAAGAAAGCAAGAAACCAGTGTAGTTGAAAGGAATCAGTAAGGTAGTTTATTAAAATCATATGAAAATAGTTATACAACTACTTCCTATGACATGAATTCTTAACTCAGGGCTCATAAAAGGGGGTTGCTGAAGTCCCTGAAATTACAGGCAAATTTGTATGCATATGTGCGTTTGGTGGAGGATTTCATGGTTTTCATCACATCCAAAACCTACAATGGAGTAAGTTCCCTCCTTTCTTAAAAAAGGGGAGAGATACTATTCTACTTTCCGCATTAGTGTGAATCTTAAAGGATATACACATGAAGATGTTTTGTAAATTGGGAAATGCTAAATAGTCATCATCACAATAATAGCTTACTATTTGCCAGGCACCATACAAAGTGTATTAAATGCAAAATCCCTCTAAAGATGAAAAAAGGAGTGCAGAAAAGTTAGCTAACTTGCCCTGAATCACAAAATTGGGGCTGATTTCAGTTCTGCCTGACTGTAAAAGCCGAACTCTCAATCCTTCTAACGCCTATGCAGTATGGGTTTGCTCAGTTATTCCACTTTGTGAGGGGAATCTTTCTTCCTGAATTCCCACAAAAAGCTAAGGGTTTGGGCTCCTGTCAAATTCACTCTTTGAGCTTTGAATTTCTGTAGACATTTCAGCCTCCTGGCCACAGATTGTTCTACCTATATAAATAGTGGTTCTAGAAATCACTAATAAAGTATACCAAAACACCTGAACTCATAGAGTAGAAAAGGAATTTGATATCACTATGCCCATTATACAACATATGCTTCCTAATTCAGCATAACCCTTTCTTCCCCAGAATCACTGCCAATGGAGGGAAAAGGAAGCTGAACATTGGATCACTTTCACCACACCCCACCCAGAACAGGCCCCCAGACAAACCTTCTGTTTCCAGGGCTCCCAGGGTTGCTAGTCTTGCAGCTTTCAATCCAAATCCCAAGTAACTGTAAAATACAGGATTAACTAATTTTGTGCTGGTCCTAAAGTTCTATAGCCTAAAGCTACCTCTTTCAAAAGTAACATGGCTTTTCCATCTCCTTCTAGAGGGAAGAAAACTTTGTTTTCTGTGACCTATTCCTCTGTCTTGGTAATTTCTACCCAGCTTAGCTCAAGACCATTCAGTAAGAACTTTTCAGAGCTATGACTTAAAGGCCAGAGACAGTGACACAAGGGTCACACCCTGGGAACCATCCCCAGTAAAACTCTCATTATTTTAGCCACCAGCTCCACTGTGATCAAATTTTGGATTGGAGGTTCAATAGCTGAAAGCCCACTCAAAGGAGTGGACAGGGTGTTTTGGTTAAACCTTCTCTGAATATCCTCTCTCTAGAGAGAACTTCTGATTCTTTTTTTTTAAGATTTATTTATTTATTTATACAAGCACTGGGTACAGTCAGAAGCACGGGAGGGTGAGCGAATTCACCAGAGCCAGAGCGAGGAGCAGAGCAGGCAGAAGGACCGAAGTACACTGCTGAGGGAAGCAGCGGGCGGCAGGAGAGGTCTGCACGCCATGTGGGACCCTCCTCCGGTGGTTGGGGAGCAGCCGGGGATCGAACTGGTGCTACAGAGGCTGCGGGCAGCTTTGCAACCCAGCACTCAACTGCTGCGCCACCGGGGAGGCTCTCTGATTCTTTAAGTTAGATACTTGAGGCCAAGAATGGAGAAGTCTCTTGGGACACTTGGGTTTTGACAAGTGGTTTGGGTTTAAGTGAATAGGACTTTTCAGTTGGCAGGCTTTTTGTAAGGCTGGTCATATGCAGTAATAGATGTGAGAATACTGTGAAGTTTAGAGAATCATACAGTATGAAATATTATTCCTTCCTGTCCCCCTTCCTCACCTATGTGTGTAGAGCTTATAAGTACTGTTAAACATCTCAAAGGAAGTGAGGTAGTCCCTCGGGGTTTGTTCCAGGGTTTTCTGCAAATCAGAAAAAGCAAAAAGACTATTTAGAATCTGCAATTATCTGAAGATGCTATCACCACCATTCCTGTCTCTCCCCAAAAAATCAGAGATGAAGGAGTCAGACTAAACCGCTAATCTCACAAGGTTTAAGGAATCAAAATGCCTGGCCAGTAAGTGGGCAAGGCAAAGTTCACTCAGTAATTAACTAACTATACTAACTATGGTAAAGCTTCTACCTGGAAATGGGACATCACTTTCTTAGCATCATGATATGCCTACTGAGTAGGTGGCTCACCAAACTGTCAAGTAAATGACTCACCTCAAACTGGGGCAGGAACGTGATTTGGGTGGAGGCCCCCCCCAGGTCCAGGGTCCCCACAGTCTCCTGGCTGTGACCATGTAGCTGACCTGTGAATGAGAGCCAGCTCTGAACATCTGCTTCCTACATAGCCCAATGCTCCTGTCTGCAGAGAGATCCTGCTCTTAATACACATTGGAGGAATTTCATGAATATTTCACAGCTCCGTGGCCCCACAGGCTGTAGGTGAATGCTAACCTAGAAGGACTCTTGTTGCAGCTGAAGCCTTGAAGGCAGATTAAAAACATTAACTTCCTGTCTTCTTTTTCCTTGTCCTTTTTTTTTTTTTAAAGAAAGGACAACACAGGAAAAAAGAAAGGTATTTTTGCTCTCTGACCCTGTACAAAACCCAGTTAAGGTCTTCAGATAAACTTGAGAATGTATTACCTGTCAGAAAATTCACAGTAATCCAAGCTAATATGCCTGAAAAAGAGAAAGACAAAGATTACATCCCAGGGCATTTTCCTTGCCCCATCTTATGTTTCTCTCCACATTCATGTCTCCCCATTCTTCCACTTCCTGCTATTCCATTCCTCCTTGCTTGTTGGTTTCTCCTTAGTTTCTTTTTCCTCAGCAATGCCATCCCTACTGCCAGCTCCTTTAATCAGATCTTTAAGCCTGGCTCTTTCTCCCTAGAACATGTATCATTAGCTCTCCCACCTTCATAGGATCCATCCATGATGCCAACACTGTCATCTGGTACCAGGAAAGGTGACTTCATGAAGACCTCTTTTACCTAGAGAGAAATGAAAAAAAATCTCAATTCCCTAAGGCAATAAAAGAGATTTTCATGTTTTGGCTGTACCTTACAAGGCTTAGAAAACTATTCTCTTTCTTTCTTTTTTTTTTTTTTAAGATTTACTTATTTATATATACAAGAACTGGGGTACAGGCTAGAGGTGCCAGGGGTGAGAGGATTCATCAGAGACAGAGTGGGGAGCAGAACAGGCAGATCTACTGAAACACACTGCTGAGGGGAGCAGCAGGCGAGACAGGAGAGGTCTGCTGCACCATGTGGGTCAGCTCCCTGGCTGGGGATCGAACTCAAGCTGCAGTAGCTGCTGATAGTTTTGTAGTGCTGAGACTTAACCCCTTGTGCCACCAGGAAGGCCCTATCTTCATTTTCTTCAGACAAAATTTTATGATCATATTTTCCCTAAGAAGCTATAGAAGAATCAGGCAAGCCCTTACTGGTTTCTTGCAAAAAACAAAACAGAGGAAGCCTTTGATTTTAAAACAAATTTCAACTAAACCATCTCAATTTACAGGTGAACAGAGGCATACATTTGATTCTGCCAACAACTGGTAAATTCTACGGGGACATCATTGAAGTTGGGAAAATCCTTTCCTACTCCATTTTTTAGATGAGCAAATAAAGATAGTAAAGAAGAGTTGAGCCTGGGTGGTTCCTGATGATACAGAAACATTTTTGCTGCTCACCCATCAAATTCTACAGGTCTCTGCCACCCTTCCTGGTAAAGGAGATCTTATCCAAGGCTAGAGTATACTGCTATCAGACCCTGTCAGATTTGGCTCATGGCTGGGATCACAATAGTGCAGACAGACCTCAGATGTAGGTTTATTAATTCCATTTTAGGAAGTGGAAATGAAGCTCTCACACAAATACTCTTGACTCTTCGTAGATATAGGTAAATGATATGTTATGTGTTATTTTTATGATTATGGGGTTGGGAGTCTAGGATAGGAGAAATTATAGACTACCTGCTTTTCTCACTTCTAATGAGATAAAACACTTCATGCAATGAACTATGGACCCTGTTTCAATCAGGAAAAGCCAGTTATATGAGCTATAAATAAGCTTTCAAGGAGAAGACAGATAAGCAAACAGGAATAAACACAGAAGAGAGCTTCTGCTCTTGCCTTCCCCTCTCCTGCCCACAGTTCAGTCTCAACACAGCAGAGCAGTGCTTTTGAAACAGACATCAGATCCTGTCTCTCCTTAGCTCAAAACTCTCCAGTGGCTTCCTTCTTAGAGACAAACCCAAAGTCCTTACACTGGCCCTACATGATAAACTCTCTCCCTCACACCTCTCTGACCTCACCTTCTACTTCCCCCTTCCATTATTCATTCCCTGCTAGTCACATGGACCTTCTGGATACTGTTCCTTGAACATACCAAGCACATTCCTGCTTTTGGCCTTTGGACCTGCTGTTTCTTTAGCCTGAGACATTCTTCCCATAAATGCCTTGTATAGCTTGCTTCTTCATTTCCCTCAGATGTCTGATCAAATGTGTCTTATCAATGAGGTCTCCTCTGTCTACCCTATTTGAAATAGTACCACCAGCACGCCCTACATAAAAACATAACATGAAACTGTATGCTTCCATTTACATAAAATATAAGTATAAGTAAAACTAAAATATAATGACAGAAAGCAGATCAACAGTTGCCTTGTTTCAGGAGTGAAGGAAACTAAGTGCAAAAGGGTTAAGGGAAATGTCTATAATTTGTCAACATTCACTTAAGTGTACACTTAAGCAAATTCTTTCCCAGAATTGCCAGAAAGGAATGCAGCCCTGCTAGCACCCTAAGTTTGGTCTTGTGAGATCCTAGTAAGAGAATCAGATTGTACCTTACTGTGCTCAGACATTTTTTTAAGCATTCATTATGGAGAAGAACAGGGGTATAGGCTAGAGGTGCGGAGGGTAAGAAGATTCACCAGACACAGAGTGGGGAGCAGAACAGGTGAATTGACTGAAATACACTGGCAAGGGGAGCAGCAAGCGAGACAGGAGAGGTCTGCTGCGTCATGTGGGTTAGCTCCCTGGCTGGTGATTGAACTCAGGCTGTAGCGGTGACAGTGCTGAGACTTAATCCCTAGGTCACCAGGGAGGCCCCACTGTGCTCAGACTTCTGACTGTGAAATAATAAGAGTGTTCTTTAAAGAAAAAAAATACATTTAATGATATGTAAGTGATACCTCAATTGTCGATAAAAACAATTTTCTATGATTCTTCTTTAACATGTTAAGGAAATTAAGAATACCATGGACACGTAGTACTTTAAACTTTTTAGAAAAAGCTCTATAAGTCCAAGGGTAATATTTAAAAATGCAAATAACAAGCTACAAGAGCCCATGGTCACCATAGTGCTTGCATAATGGTGGAATACTAAAGGTAATAGTAACACTCCAGAGGGTAAAAAAGAGTAGAGATGGGGCCTTCCTGGTGGCACAAGGGGTTAAGCACAGCACTATGAAGCAATCCGCAGTCTCTGCAACACAAGTTAGATCCCCGGCCAGCCAGGAAGCAACCCACACAGCGCAGCAGACCTCTCCTGACTCGCCTGCTGCTCCCCTCAGCAGTATATTCCAGTCAGTCTGCCTGTTCTGTTCCCTGCTCTGTCCCTGGTGAATCCTTTCACCCCCTGCATCTCTGGCCTGTACCCCAGCTCTTGTATGAAAAAATAAATAAATCTTTTTTAAAAAGTTTTATCTTTATATAAAAAAAAGAGTAGAGATAATATTCATAGAGAGAAAAAGAATTATTCAAGATGCAGAAGATTTCAAAAGTTACCTCAAAAAGTAGAGCCTGGGCTTTCTGTTCTGGCAGTAAGCGCAGGCCTGCTGTTGCCTTCAGAACCACTGGGGTCCTTTTCCAGTGACTTCGGGGGATTGAATCTTTGGCCACCTCTAAGAGTCCTTGAACAGTCTCAGCACCCTTCAAAAAAGATGACCCACTCATTCAGTGAACACTCCAATTAGTGGCACAGGTCTATTCCCTCAATATGCTCTAAGAGAGTAACAGGAAAGTACAGCAGAGAGGGCTCTGTAGAGGTGGAAATCTAGAGATGTAGCCTTCACTAAAGAAAGATAACCCACTTCATTTTTAATAAAAATGATTCTTTTATACTGTAGTCATTGATTGCTGTATTCTCATTTAAATTTTCTTTAAGCCAGAAGATGGGAATAGTAAAGGAAACAATTTGGATTAGAAGTTTGCCTGTGACTTAACATAGGTCACTTGAACATACTGGGGCTTGGCTCCTTCAGCTATGAAGTGAGAGATATGCTTTATACCACAAAATTATCATGTACAGTAGATGAGGCACACTGTATGCAGCTGCCACATGAATACTAGCTGTAAGAGGACAGAACAAATCAGGTTCATTTCTGTATCATTAGCACCTACCTACCCACAGTAGATGCTCAATTTATAATAAAATAAAAACCATTATTTCAAATCCAGTTTCCCTGAATAAACATATATTCTAACAATACACTGTCTCAATCATAATTAGTAGCAAGCACAACACAATCATCTCTAAATGTCAAATCAATTTCTGATAATGTAGTTGCTTTCAACAGCTTTCAGTTTTCTGGCACATTTACCATTTCACAATAGTGAGTTAAGAAAATAAACATGCTCTCAGTTCAAGTTCAAGTCATTTTTAACATCAAGTTTTCATTTGGCTAATTATTATCCTTGTGACTTTGAATATCTTTATATCTGCTAACAAAGTTCAATATACTGCATTACTTTATTTCAGCATGCCCTCTCACACACTGGGTGTTTCATGTTGTTGGTAGCCACATGTGAAGTACAGTCACAACAAAACTTTACATTTATCCTCTACCACCAAAGATTTTATGATGGTCTCCTGCCTAATTTCTAGAGTATAGGCATGGTTCTATCCTATTGGTATTTCACTTGGTTGATAGTCCCTTAATTGCCATGTTTATACCTCATACCCTATAGAATTTCTAATCTTCTACATCTACATAAATCAAGACAGTTGATGGCTTCCATTCAAAGTTTTAAATAGTAAATACACACACACACACAAAATGGTGTTATCCCTCTATGGCCATAATCTATTTTCTCTTTTCCTTCCACCCAAACCCTAGTGAGCACAGGGTATGCAATTACTGTTATGCAGGAGATTAGCTAAGGAGAGCAAACTGAGAAATATTTAACAGCAGTAATGCGGTAAAGTTATCAAGGCATCGAAATCTAAACATCTAATTGTAAGAAACTTACCTGCTTAGGTTGATCTACAAAAGCAGAAAGTCCTGGCTTCACAGAATCAAAAATTTCCCCTTCCAGAATTGGAAGCTGTCCTATTTTGCCATACAAAAAAACAGAATAGAGAAAGCTGATTACTAAAAATTAGGCTTCTTCAGATACTGGTCTCTGCATTGTAAGACCTACTATTGACAGAGTAACCTGCTATTCCAAGTAATTCCACTTGTGAGGAATGGCTGGCAGGAGTACTGGACAGGGGGACAGAGGATGACATTGCATTTCTCTTGTGGACACTAATTCCTACTTCTTTCCTTAGGATCGACATGTAATGAGATAACAGAACACTGCAAATTCAAAGTTAATCTTTAGGATTCCCTCATCTCCTCACCAAGGTGATCCTTCTCCCAGCAGTCCCACTATTTTGGACCCTGAAATATTAACCATCCTCAAGGGAGAGGAAAGATCATGACAACCATAATTCTTGGACACATGAGTTTCAGACTAAAGCCAGATCAGATCTCTCTCAATTTCACACTGAAGTAAAGCATATGTATTCAGTTATAGTCCAGAACGTTCTCTGAAGAAAAACATTCACTAGCTACATGATTCTGTAATTCAAATCACACACTCAGTATATCTGTTTATGGAAGGCGATCTGAAGTATGGATTTATAGACTGGTCTATGGATTTATAGACCAGTTGAACTTACCTGGTATTTTTTGCACAAATGTGTAAACGTGAATTCTTGTGCCAGTGCTCCCTGCATCAAACATAATTCCATATAATGTGCTGTCACTGACATTGATGGGGCACATGGAAGACAGGAAGACACCTTCAAACCAAGTCTGTTGGTCTCTGTAGAAGATAGTGGTACAAACGCAGGATGCCACCAGCATGAAGAAGACTACCCCCCACGAAGTGGCCATTCTTTTCCCAAGATGTATGAGTGGTGAGTCTAGGCTTTTGTTGCAGAAGCAGTGCTGCTCACACACCTGCAATGGCTTATATGACAAAGATACACAAAGTCAGACCAACCAGGTTTTTTGTTTATCTCTGTAAAAGAAGAAAAACAACCATATGAAAGTCCCACCCCTTCCCCCAAAGTGCTCCTTCTCTATTTCTAATAACCAGCACAACAAGCTAGACCAGGGCGACATAGACTCTTAGTACCTTTTCTGAAGGGTATCTGGTTGCAAAAGGAAACTGGGGTTTGAAACATATATTCCCATGTTCCTTTGCCACCTTGCTCCTATTGTTGAGTCTAATTTTCTTCTTTCCATTTTGACAATTTTTGTCTTTAGATAATACAGTTAACACTCTCGCCCTGTTGTGGTTTTTTAATCACAGGCTTAAGAATATTTAAACTCATTATATTTGCTTTATTGTAAGAACTTATAAATTTGACTAACAGGTAAGAAACTTCAATTTCCAAATCAGAATTATAAAGTTACACAGAAGTTACAAAGTCCCTACTACTGCAGTGTTTACCGCAATCAAAAATCAGGCCACTAGACTATCACCTGTGACCAACAACATTGTCAGTGGCTTCACATAGAATCATATTTTAACTAAATAAGTCAGCTTAATTTAAAACATTTATAAAGAACATTATGGTTTTTAAAAGCACCATCACAGACTTTAGGCCATGTTATCTTCCTAAGAACATAGGGCAGAGAAGTAAAAAAGATGGAGAGGTTTGATGACTTCCTGAAAGTCATGAAACAGAAGTGAAATCCTGATCAGTTATCAGTCTCCATTCTTCCAACCCCTCTCTTTTTTTCCCCAATTGCAAAATGTTTTCTTTATGGCAGGTTATTGCCTGTATTTCTTGATGTGTCCAAGGCAAAGACAAAAAACCTTTAAGGGCTTAGGATTATTTGCTTTGGATTTGTGTATTATGCTGGATAGATTACATGGAACAGCGTGGAGTGAGTGCAAAGTCTAGGGTCAGTCTAGAATCAGCCTTGAATAGTGTTCAGAGTAATCTAACTTTACCTTTTAGTACCTCGTAACAACTATTAATTTAAATAATTGAAAATTCCAAATACAATTAAACGTTAATTTGCTTTATTTTATGTAATGTGTTACCTGTGGGGAGGGGTGCTCTGGATTTCAGTCAGAGCATCTATGTCCATCAGGAAGCAGCATGATCTTGAGCAAGTCTAAGACTCCATTCCCTCACCTGTAAAGTGGATATAAGAATACCTGCCCTACCCACTTATTGTGGTTATTAGGAAAACCAAATTATAATGTCTATAATGTGAGGTTTTGTTTTCAAATTACAACACACTGTTCAAATATTATATATCATTATAACATCTTCTAATTTGTTTTCAGGATTGAAGATGTAAAAAATGGAAAGAGAGAATGGATTTGTCATTGGAACACTGGGAAATAATTATTTAAGTGTGCACTTTTTGTTGTGCTTTTTTAGTTTTTGGGGGGCATCATTTTACAGTAAAGCAAATTATAAGTTCTTGCAATAAAGCAATTATAATGAATTTAGATATTCTTAAGCCTGTGATAAAAAACAACAACAAACACTTGATAGTGTTCAGTGGAACAATGGAATCCATTTTACCACTGGTTACTTTAGTAGTAATTTTTTCCCTTTTTTTTTTTTTTCCCTAGGAGGGACATTAAATGAGAACAAAAAAGTTAAATGCTTTTTGTTCTGTGATTTGTAACTGGCCTGCTGTTTCCTGTCATCTCATGTGTAAAGGAAAACTGGAGTTCTTTAAGGTTTCTTGAACCCCAGGATCTACTGATATTGGGGCTGGATACTTTGTTATGGCCACTGTCACTGTCTTAGGTATCGTGGTAGGGAGCTGAGCAGCATTCCTGGCCTCTACCCATCGGATGTCAGTAACACCTGCCCCCTACACCAGAGACAAGGATGTCTCTGGACACCAATAAATGTCTCCTGGATAAGCCACATTTTCTCTGCTCCATGATGTATTTTCTCATGACATTAATGATGAATGTCATATCTACCTCTAACACAGCCTTCTTCCTTAATTGCCCCTATGTACTTTACTCAAAGTAGTTTTTTTTTTCTGATTCATCATTCATCTCTAGACTTCTCCTTACATAAGTCATAGTTACTGGTTAACGAGATCTAATTCCAAAGTTCCCCGTTCCCAGTCCTCCATTTCGAACAGAATAATCACTATGTTTGGAGTACAGGTTGAGGGTTCTCAATCATTCTCCAGTTTGTAGATATCCCAGGGTTTGTTTTATCAAAATGCACCCCTCCCCACACTTAATACATTACATAAAATAAAGCAAATTAAAGTTAATTGCATTTGGAATTTTCAATTATTTAAATTAATAGTTGTTATGAGGTACTAAAAGGTAAAGTTAGAATTATTACTCTGAACACTATTCAAGGCCAAACAATAGTTAACAATGAGTTATTGGTTATGAAAGGACCAGAACTGCTCAACTTTTAGAATCTCAACTTTTCGAATTGTTCAACTTTTAGAAGGAAACATCATCCCAGGAAATCAAGCACTGAAACAAGTCTGCTGACTGACCAGTTTCATACTCACATCTTAAATTACCTCCTTTGGCTGATTCTTTTATTATAGCAAGCAGGTTGGTCACGTAGATCAATCTAAATAACTGAAAAAAGAAACAACCTTTTCAGGTGATCTGAGTGTAATGGATCCTTGTCTAGTTCAGAGCAAACCATATTCAAAACCTTCTCCTTGGGGCCTCCCCGGTGGCGCAGCGGTTGAGCGCTGGGTTGCGAAGCTGCGCGCGGCCTCTGCGGCGCCGGTTCGATCCCCGGCTGCTCCCCGGCCACCAGAGGAGGGTCCCACATGGCGCGCAGACCTCTCCTGCCGCCCGCTGCTCCCCTCAGCAGTGTACTTCGGTCCTTCTGCCTGCTCTGCTCCCCGCTCTGGCTCTGGTGAATTCTCTCGCCCTCCCGCGCTTCTGACTGTACCCAGTGCATGTATAAACAAAAAACAAAGAAACCAGCAAACAAATAAATAAAGCATGCCTCTATAAAAAAAAAATAAAAATAAAAAATAAAAAATAAAAAAAAAAAAATAAAAAAAAATAAAACCTTCTCCTTTTTGTCCAGTAGGAAGTGTATTTAGCGAGTGTCCAAACACCAGCTTTCCTCTACCTCTGTGACTAGCTTCACAGCATCTTTTTTAGGTATCACTCATTTTATCTCCTATTATGGTTCTAGAAAAACCTCTTTAAATTCCATTAAGCAAACACTTGTTTTTCTTCCAAATTAGATTTCAAGGGGGGAAAAGTGCACACTGTGTATCTGTTTTCATGCAGTGAAAACTGCAGTCATACCAGGTGCCCACTGTAAAACTAAAGAGTAAGTAAATCTTAGAGAAAGCAAAATATGAACTCATAAAATGCCCCTTCTCCACTCCACTGTCTAACACCACTTCCAGTCTCATTTTCCTTTCAGATTAGATACCTTAAGAATAGGACTAGCAAGGTTTACAATTTAGAGTATACAGAATGACATTCTATTTTGTATCACCTCTCTCCATGGTTTACTCACTTTGTTAGTCTTTGCTCAAATCTCAACTTCCCAGTGAGACCTTCCTGCCCACTCTATTTAAAACTGCAACCTCCCTGGTGGTGCAAGGGGTTAAGTATCAGTAATATGAAGCTATCTGCAGCCACTGCAGCACAAGTTAGATCCCAGCCAGGGAGCGGACCCACATGGCGCAGCAGACCTCTCTTGTCTTGCCTGCTGCTCCCCTCAGCAGTGTATTTCAGTCAATCCACTGTTCTGCTTCCCACTCTGTCTCTGGTGAATCCTCTCACCCCTCGCCTCTGCACCTCTGGCCTAAACCTCAGTTCTTGTATGCATAAATAAAATAAATCTTTTAATTTTTTTAAAGATTTATTTATTTATTTATTTATTTATACAAGCACTGGGTACAGTCAGAAGTGCGGGAGGGTGAGAGAATTCACCAGAGCCAGAGCGGGGAGCAGAACAGGCAGAAGGACCAAGGTACACTGCTGAGGGGAGCAGCGGGCATGGCAGGAGAGGTCTGTGCGCTATGTGGGACCCTCGCCGGTGGCCGGGGATAGAACCGGGAGCAAACCGGGGCTGCAGAGGCTGTGGACAGCTTCGCAGCCCAGCACTCAACCACTGCGCCACCGGGGAGGCCCTAAAATAAATCTTTTAAAGCAAATAAAAACTGCAACCTACTAGGTCACGGGCATTTCATTTACTTTTCTCCCATTTATTTTTTCACCATAGCACTTATCACCACCTAAAACACCATATAATTTACTACTTTTCCCTATGTTCCCTGCTTCCAACTTTCATGTGAATTATGTATTTGTCTGTTTTGTTCACTGATGTTTCTGAAATAGGAAGGGTCCCAGGACAAGGACAAGAATCAAGGACAAAATTTTGCTGTTTCCACAGTCTGGTAAACAAGATGACTCTAGATCCAGGCACCTGCTGCAATAAATTTCCTTGGCCCATTGTTTTGTTTTACAATTTTTGAGTTATCTTTCTACAGGTTATTATGTTGGCTTCTATGGGAAAAGGTAGTTGCAAACCCAAAAGAAAGTCACAGACCTTGAGACCAGACTGGTTCAGACTGGAGCTGTGGGCACACAGCCTCCATGAGATGTTCACCTTGGAGATGGTCACAAGCCCAGCTCAAGCACTGAGCTGGTTGATAAAAAGTAAGTTGGCTGGTGCTCACAACTAGTTAACAACAAATGGACTTTAGCCAAGTGTGCTCTCTTTGCTTTCTCAGCCAGTGAAGTTTAATTCCTATGTTCTCAAAACCCAGTCCTAAAATGTAATTAGGGGTCCTCCCTGGTGGCGCAAGGGGTTAAGCACATAACTATGAAGCTATCCACAGCCTCTACAGCACCAGTTCTATCCCCAGCCGGCCAGGGAGCAACCTATATGGTGCAGCAGACCTCTTCTGCCTCGCCTGCTCCTCCCCTCAGTGGTG